TTAGCTAAATTTCGATGGCATATTCAGAATCTACATGAAAAACTGGTCTAGAAACACTCTTTCAAAGTATGATGGATTGATACAGAGTCTCGCTATGGAGAGTCAAAGAGAGGGAAGTCGAGAAAATGAGAATCGCTAAAACGGGCTTTTTTGAATATCGCTAAAATTCACCCCATCTTTGGGGGTCGATATCTCGCGAACGGGGCGTCGGATGGGAAAACCCTTCAAGATAGTTTCTTAGAATGATGTTGAGACCTCGTATACCAATTTTCAGCCAAATCGGAGGGGGTCGGGTTCCGAGCCTGGTACACTAGATGTGGAATGACCCATATTTGGTTTTGAGGGCTGAGGTTGAGTTGGTGCAATATCCAACTCTGATAGATCTCCTGTCACAATGTTATTAGAGGGACCCACAATAATATTATCAATATTTTCCGGGGTTAAATTGAATAGACATTGTACGTCTTCTTCAGCCGAGAGATATTCTATTTCAGACGTTGGAGTTTGGGGGAAGTATTGAGATTGACATTCTTCAATCACTATAAAATCATTTTCATAACAATTAGCTGATTTTTCTTGGAGTTTAGTTGTGAGCGCTGGATCAATTTTGCGCTTTTTATCATCATTAGGCGCTATTTCTTTTTTAGGTTTGATGAATACTCCATTTCTTCGGTATTGTTTACCTGCTTCATTTTAATTTTATACGAGCGCAGTTGTTTACATTTTTTTTACAATACAACCTTGCTCCCACTCAGCATTCCATAATTTTTTGAAATAAAGTGGATCACCTATTTTTAACTCAGAGAGTTTTCCTTTGCCTTTGTGATATTTTTTCATCTCCTTAATGTTGTCCGATTTCAATTTGTGAAACATAGTATAAGGGATTGGCTTCGATTGGCGGTTTGACTTATTAACATACAATTTAGTTCTCAGGTTTCTAGACATTAAGAGATTTGACGGGGATAGTATTGTTAATTTTAATTAATTCAGGAAATCGCGAATAATAATTTATTACTACCAGGTACAAGTTTTTGTTTAATTCCATGAAATCCATGCCAAGTTTTTGCCATGGGTATTCTCCTATGTCATAAGGCAGCAAAGTTTCCGCTCTGTTGTTATTCATTGTTCATCTTGAACCCCATTGACAGCACCAATGAAGAGGCTGGGTCCATCATCGTCTGTCGATTGGTAGTAGTCGTCTTCATCGCCAGAGAAGTCATTCTCCACAAACCTGACGCTTTGCTTATTGAACACCCTCTTCAGGCGATTGGGTTTCTCGTAGACGGAGCAGCTTCTTCCCATGGCAGGACATTTACCGGAGTAGTGGATTGAATTTCCGCAGGACTTGCAGGCTTTCTGCTTCCCAAAGCTGGATTGACGCCCGTGTTGAGGATTGTGGTTGCGGGTGAAGTTAGACGATGTCGCTTGTTCACAGATAGCACTGCTTCTCCCACGCCTTCCACGTCCTCTGACATTGCTGGATCTTCCTTGTTCCACCTTATTTACTAGTTAATTTTCGGTCGGTTCCTCCATCGACTTTGACTGTAGTTGTGACGCGTGCATTGTCTGAGCAAACAACACCACTTCGTCCAGCTTCCTCTCTTTCATTAGGAGTTGCACCCTAATGTCATCATGCTGAGGAAGAAGACCGGCAACAAATACAGATTTCACAACTTTATGAAAACACAAATCGAGAGTTCTTAGCAGATTGCTGAGCAGCAGCACTCGTCGTGTCTTGCATGATAAAGGAAATAGGCCACTTGCAGCTGATTACAGAATTTTGATTTCAACACACGTAGGTAGCACTTTGGTGTGAAATTTAAAAAGAGAGAGTTCGAGTTAGCACATCGAGAGCATTTGCTGCTAGTTCAAAAGAAGATGAAGAAATTCATCACGCACTATCGGACGCGTTTCAAAGATATGCCGCACTGCTGGGTACGCTAGCACGCACTTTCAAAAGTTCGATTCGACGTCGCACGCACTTTCAACCGCCGTGTTCGACGAAATACGGTTACGCGTAGAGCTCAAAACTACCGATTTCGCGAAACTACGAACGGAGAACGGGTTTCGGCACCATGTTTGAATAGGAGCAATCCTAATCAAGAAAGGAAAGGAAAGAAGATGAAAAGGCGAGACGATAGCTAGGCAGCCATGATGAATCTATTTTGGGTTGGATCGGCTTCCGGCCGTCCTCGGTCACAGTAGTGTACAGGAGAGCACAGCGCTCTCTATATGAGATATACTATACTAGATCACTATCATAACATCCAGCAGCATTGTTCAAAGCATTGTTATGCTTAGAGTGCACATAACCTCAAACCTAAATACTTGAATGAAGCATGCCTCGTTTGTTTTGATGATAATAATTGTGGCTGGTAAATAGTTTAACAATACTTACAGTCAAATTTCACCCAATACTTCACCTGACCGCACGCACGAGCTCTGAGGAATGCCAGTATGCGATTGCGATATCTGATCGCAATTGTTGATCAAAATAGAGTCGCGTTGCTCTGTTTTAAAATGCAACACCCATCAATCGAATCATCCTGACTTTCAGACATTTTGAGCATCCATTTTTACAAATGAAGACAGGGCTATGCAGTCAGATGGCACCACTGATGAGTGGTGACCTAAACAATTCTTGACTTCAGTGTCAACATACGATGCTTCCGCTCTAGATGATATCGGTTAATGAAGTTTTATTAAAGTTTTAAATTTTTTATCTTTGCACCGGTGGCATTATTCTATTTTGGTACAAAGGAGGAGTGCGGCAATTGCGGCGTGTTATAATAATATTGTTTTTATCATTTGATTATTTAATGTGCGTTGTAACAAATGTATGTGGACCTTTCCGACCAAGCAGCATACACCCATGTCAACATTGCTAAGATTATGCGACTCTTCCCCTTTTACAAGTATCCAAAATCACCCACTTTGTACATTGCTCTGCCAAAATATTCAGAATAATGGAAAGAAAATGTGGTGATCAGGGAAATACTCTTGGGGGTTTCTGTAGCGTTTCAGAACAGAGCGAGAGGTGAGAGTGCGGCTGTCCTCTTCTGCTACAAAACACTTGCACATTTGGCAACAGGACAGTAGTGTGCTGATTTAGCTACCCCCAGCGCTGGCCTGCAGTGCTCTGGAGGCAATGAGGATCCCTGGTCGCAACTGCAAAATTCAGGTTGGCGAGAGCGTCGTTGCGCTCGGAGTTCGATCCTCGAGATAGGCGTTTGGTTTTGGTCGGTTAAGTTGGTTTTGGATTGGTTAAGTGGAAATATAGTTGGAATCCAGGCGTTGATACCCTTAGTTTTTCTCCTTTTTTCTTTTTGTTCATAGTTAGCATGATATCACTTAGATGGTCCCTTTTTCTTTTTCAATTGACCTTGTTTCTTTTTTCTTCATTAAAATTTGTCCTGTAAATCCCTATCACTGAGTTACTTATTCTCTCTTTCTTGTTTCATTATTCCTATATATATTATCCTCCCTCTCTGCTCACTTCATCTTCTTTTTCTTTGACTAAAAGCAAGAGGTCCGGTCTAGCCATTAACTCAATAGGTCTGGCCAGTCAGTTTTTAATCCCCTCTCTTTTTTCCTTTTTTCCCCTTTTATTCTCTTATATTTTTTTATTTTTATTCTCATTCTTATTGTTATTTTTTTGTGCTATCTTGTCCGTCCACCTTTTTCCCTAGAAGCAAGAGGTACGGTCTGGTCGTTATCTCGATTGGTCTGACCAGTCAGCTCTCGGGACTTTCTTTCCTTTTCTTCTGAAAGGACAAGGGGTATCGTCTGGTCGTTAAATCAATTGGTCTGGCCAATTAGCCCTTTCAAACCTCATCTACGTCCATTCACCTTTTTCTAGGAGTAAGAGGTACGGTCTGGCCTTCAACTCGATTGGTCTAGTCTGTCAACCCCTAGAACTTTCCTTTCTTTTTCTTGGACAAGAGCAAGAGGTACAATCTGGCCAGCCAGCTCTTCTCCACCACCTTTTTTCTTCACCCCCTTTTCTACCCATATAGTTTTTTTTAAAGGGGAGTAACTCCTCTTTTTTCGTCGCACAAATCTTTGAGGTAAATCTCGGAACAGTTTACAGCTCTCAACCAAGTAAACAGTTGAATGTATGCGCAAAATCTTAGACCCACGTTGACATGAGTATATGCTGTTTGACCGTAAAAGTCCTCATGTAGCCTCTAATATTATCTGTAGCTGAAAATCGACATCATATTCCATATGTCAAAATATGTAGCAAGAGAATAAGAGATCAGGTTGTTCATGAATCGTGACATGTTCGCTTGTTCCAGACCTGCTTAGTGCTCCTGCTCAGAAGCAAATGTTTTGAGAAAATGGGTTTCAAGTAAAGCTTTGAGCTTATTAAACTAGGGAACTTGTGCCTTTTACATGAGCGTAGCTAGGGGGTTCAGGGGGCCTGGCCCCCCTAAAATTGAAGATAGTATCATTTGCTCCCCCCCCTTCCCAGAAATTATGGGTGGAGGAAAAGAAATATGAAACAAAAAATCGGTTAAATTAATCATTTCCAAAGAATCTTGAGCCAAAAATGCAGAAAAAGGGTACTTTCTGTGCAGAAATGAATACAAAATTTGAGTTACAAAAGCCTTAAAATTCATCCTAATAGAGGTAAATTTTGAGTAACTTTGAGGCGAGGTCCCGACGACCTCCCTTCATGGGGGGGGGGGGGGGGGGGGGGGGGGTATTCCATTTATCTAAGACCCCGTCTCCCCCACACAGTGATAGGGAGTATTCGCCCCCCTAAGCCTACGGCGTTTTAAAGTGGGGAATAGTTCTTGAAAATTTGCCTAACGTGGCACCCATCAAATTGTAAATCTCAGTGCTTCACCATAGCTTCATTTCTAATGGAAGATCCGGAAATATACTTTTGACTATGCTTGATAAGCTTGTTTTTAATAAGAGCTCTGGTAATGTTAACGTTAAACGGGAATTTTTGATGAAGTTTTACAATCAATCATGATTGTCATATTTTTCAGAAGGAAAATTCACAGCCATATATTAAAACAGAAATCAAATCAGAACCAGAAGAGCAAGATATAGATGCACTACATGATTCTATTGATGAGGATGAGGACGATGAAGACGATGAAGATGATGATAGTTGTCACCAGGATATCAAAGAAGAGCAGTCGGAGGAGGTTGTAATGATAGTGGACCCATTTAGCATACATCTGGATCAGTATGATGATGATATGTCAGAAGAAAATCAAGATTCTCATCTTGACTATCCGGTAGAGTCGAGTTACGGTGGCAGTGATGTTTTACGGTTATCACAAGAGGATCCCCGCCGACATTCCAATTGTAATATTTGCAATCTAGGATTTAAAAATCGGGAACAGCTGGATCGGCATAAGCAAATCCATACTGCTGTGAGTGTTCTTTTCTTGCTTTTTTTTAGTCCATATCTACACTTCTCTAGTTCCAGACATGTTTTGTCAAGTTTTCTGTTTCACAGGGTATTCAGTACCTATTGTTATAATTGCAAGTAGGCAAACAGAATGGTAGAAGGTGGGACTAATTAATGAGTTTAATAACTTTTGAATGGCAATATAGCTTTTTTACCAAAGAGATTGCCAAAAAGCGCCCTGGAATGAAGGAGTTGTGAGTCCTTCATCAGAATATCATGCATTTTCACACATCAAGACTCACACATCAAGACTCAAGCAAGGAATCCATGAAAAAATAGAGGGTCATGATCCTGTATTTTCTTCCTTGAGTCAGACCTAATGCTTCATTATTTTTGTTATTTCTAATACTGAGAAAACCACAAGAGGCAGGAGATCCAATTTGATGGCAGAAGAAAGGTTGCACCTCATCTTTTTTTTTTTTTTTTTTTTTTTGCTGTCAATTTACTCCCCAGTTATGCATAAAAAGGATAGTATTTAAGTACTTTAAAAAAAAGCAAAACTGCAAAATCATGAGGAGAAAAGTAGTCAAGTGGATGCCCTTTCATAGAATACTTCAATTGATTGTTTTCGTAAAATAAACGCAGCCCCTTTTTAAATTATTTTTTGTTGGGTGAAAAGTGTCTGAAAATACTGGAGGGCACCGTCCAACACGGCTCCAAAAAAAGGACCATGACTTTGCAAATTTTCAGTCAAATAAGCTCAACTATGTATTATTCTTGGGCTATTACATTGAACCTTACGACTGTAAAAAACCGCATATTGAGGTCTGCCTCCGTTTGCTCATACGAAGAAATCCTTTTGCGACAGCCTATGTACCTATTTTTCTTACATTTGTATGAAAAAAAAAAAACAGTTTTGACAACAGGTAACAACAACCACTGGGCACTCCATTCAGTTCTCTGCGACTTCAGCTTTGTAAAATCTTCTCTTGAAGACTCTTCATGCAAACTGCAGTTCGTTTTGACAGGACATGATGTATTGTTGACTATTGACGATTGCTTAGAACTTTAGATCATTGATGAATAACAACTTTTAACAGAGATTCTTCACTGAATCCATCTCATGTTTACTGTCTCGCTCTTTCTCACTGAATTTTCCTCTGCTTATTTCTGATTGTCTTATTACTCGCATTTCTTTATCCATGTTATTATTAAAATTTGTTTTCAACTTCTGCTTAACCCCATTTCCTCGGGCTGTTTCAATTACACTTAATGCACCTGTCATGACACCTCCCTCTTCATTTTTGTACCTCTCTCATCCTTTCTCCTTTTTTTTATGTATGACCTACTTTTAATTATTACCTACCAGCTGATTTTCGGAAAACTTTTTTCACGAATTGTCTCCACCTTTAGATGATAGTAACACGTACTTTCTCTTCATCTGGTGCTTACCTCTCCATTCTCTTCCTCCGCTTCTGACGTTTAACATCCTCTTCCTGCGCTTCTGATGTTTAACATCCTCTTCCTCCACTTCTGTCGTTTAACATCCTCTTCCTGCAGTATACTTTTTAAAACGAGAATTTAAAAAATTAGCAAATTTCTTGCGTAGCAAATGAAGTAAAATAAACAATGCTAACTGGAAAATACTAGAGAAAAGGTTCAGAAAATAAATATTTTGTATTGGCCCTTTTCTCACGATAAGGAAGGCAAGAAATTCCATAACTTCAGAACTCAAAGTAAAGAAAAGTATAAGTCAAAACTAAAATCCAAGCTTTCAGGCCAACTAGTGTGATTCTGGAGGGATTGTGTCCTGTGAGGTTGTTTTAAATTGCATTTCAAAATGAAAATAGTCAGTTATGAGACCAGCGATTCTGTTCTATCACTTTTGTAGAACGTGCGTTTTATTCTCACTTCACAAAAAGTTGAAACCTTACTCTAAAAATACTCAGAGAAACTGTTCTCATGTGTCATATCTATCTGTGATGAAGTCCCAACCTTTAATTTTTTCCAGGGCCCTCCTTATCCGTGCGACTACTGTGATAAATCTTTTGATGGACGCTCTGACTTGAAAACACATTGGGAAACACACAAAGGTGACAACCAGTTCATGTGTGAAGTCTGTGGAGCATCGTATGCTGAGGAAGCTATTTTACAAGCGCATTCCATCATCCATGAGCGAGTTCGCCCTTACAACTGTCCCACTTGTAGTAAATCTTTTTACTATAGATCAGATCTTCGCAAACATGCCATCATTCATACTGGTAAGATATGTTTGCTAACTTTTCATGGAGAGGGTCATACATAGTTGCAGGATCCTTCAGGGTTTCGATCTGAACAATAATGATTGTTAATTCAAATTTCAGTTTCAAATTCAAATTTATGCCAGTCCCATTAAAAACTGTACAAAGAACAGCTAAGCTTCATATCTTAATACATGAAAATACTGAGTACCTCCGGAGTGAAACTGCCGAACTGCACAGGTGTTATCTATGTGTTGAAATAATAAATTCATTAATAGCAATGTTTCACTTGAGAGCACCCTCACTCAAAGCAACAGCTGTCCTGAGTTTCAGTGACCCAATTTTTCCTCCTGAACAAAAGTTCTAGATCAACTTTCGTGACATCTGATATTCCTCTTTACTTTTCCAAAGGGCGGTAGGAGGTTCATACCATTTCCAGTTTTTAAATAGACCTTTCCATTCTAGCAGCCCCTCTCCCCAATTGGAAGAAAAATATATAATTTTTTTTTTTTTTTTTTTTTTTTTTTTTTTTTTTTTTTACAAATTGCGGCAATTTTGTAAAGAATATGCGATTTTTACCGTCGATAAATTAGGGTTAAAAGAGCTGATATATTTTTACACTGATGGGATTCTTATGGTATCTACATTGAGAATGGATCAAGTCCCAACATTTATGACTTTTAGGGCTTGTTGAACAAGCAAGGTGCTTTAATAATTGTTTTCTGTCCTTGCAATGTGAGGGTTTTAATGGCATATGATGGGTGGAGGTTCTCCAACTGTCGGCATTTCGCTTCTCCACCAATCCAATCTCTATGATGTGGACACTTATGCCTGTCTCTCTAAAATCTAATATGAACAAGCTAGAGGAAAGGTGACATAATCCATGAATTGGAGGTATCCATCCGCTCCTCCTTTAATTCTAAAAGTCTTCTTGTCCACTATTTGCTGATCCTTAAAGAAGCTTTTCCCTTTCTTTGTTAATATGTGGAGGATGTTCTAAAATATCCCAAAATTAGGCAATTTTATTTGTGGTGCATACAAGTCATATGCTTTTGTGTAGAATTTTGTAGGCTAAGACTTCAGATGAGTGCTTAACAATTTTGAAACCATTTTATTACCGTTCCATTTCAAATTCACCGTGAGTGATATTTTAGTGCTATGTGTTCTTGAAGGAGCTAGAACATTTCATTGCGGTTGATTATCAAGAAATTTCTCAAATTGTGGTATTGAAGACTTGAACCTGATTGTAATCCAAAAATCTCACTCATGAGAGGAGAGTGGAACCGTTGTTGATGCTTTCAAATAATGTCTATTTTCATTTTTGCATTACAAAAGTTTTTCTACTCTCTATTGAGTCTTGTATTCCACTTTTCTTTCTAAAGTCTTCAGTCTGTTATCTCCATCATTTTTCTCATTTTATAATTCACAGGTCCAGTGCAAGAGAATGCCAAGTGATAGTTTTGTCCTCTCTAAACAGTTTTAATTATTTGAAATATGTTGAAGGCCTTATAGAGTGCAAAAAGTACTAAATGATGTTTTGACACTAAATCCAGATATTTGATCTTCCAATTTTTACATATCAGAATTAATATCTCTATGTGAAAATTTCAAGGAACATTTATATTCTCGGAACCTTTCAGTTATAATATAAAATGATAAATGTCATTAAAGACTGCATAAAATTAGTTTACTTCTAAGTAATTGTTCAATTTTTTGTATTTAAAGTAGAAAAAATTAAGTGAAGATCTACAACTAAGTCTTGGAAATAAATCGGTTTAAATGTGCCTGTACAAAACAGAAGAGAACTGCAAGTACAAACATCCACTATTCCTTCTTCTTTATTGAGGTCGGACTGTCACTACAAGTCCTTCTCATTAAAATTCTGTCGAAAACCCTTTGAACAATAATCAATTTTTTGGTCTCTCTTAACCTTTCAGTTTTTGTGATGCAAAATTTTATAACTTACTATTAATTGCTTTCAGCAATAGTTCCTCAAAGAAATTTAGCTTTTAGGTTTCAGTGATTTCTCGGTTGTCTTTGATTATTATTTGATGGAAATGAGTATCCTTCATTCTTGGCACACATCATTGAAGGTGCTGCATAACCAAAACATGACCTCCAAAAGAAAGATTTTTTTCTTAATGTTTTGTATTGTAGGTCGATATGATTGTATTACAGGTCGACAGATACGGTTTTAGAATATTTTCAGTCTTCATTTGATCAGTCCTGCTGGAATTTAATAATTAACGAAAAAACAACAAGAGCTTTCAAAACAGTGACTTGGCTGATCCTTTGTCCCTTTTTTTCCTCCCCAGACTTGAGTGTCCCCTCCAATTCAGGCAATGACCTCTCTTCTCTGCTGATTGCGGAACCTAATGGGAGTACAAGGAAAAGGTTCAGGAATCCTGAAGAATGGAAACGAAATAAACTGCGCAAAGCAAGAAACGAGGGGAAGGAGTACGTAGATCGTAACATGAAAGTACATGCCGCTAAGAGGTGTGGAGAATTTATTCACAATTGCCGTTTTCACTGCAACCAAAATGTCCCTGAAACTGTCCGTCAGCAAATCTTCACTGAGTTTTGGTCCCTTGGAGATTGGAACATTCAAACATCTTACCTTTGTCAGCTCGTGATTCTAGAAAATGTTCAAAGGAGGAAAAAGAAGTGTCCTGTTTACTCAAAGGATGTAGCTTGCAAGTACTTCTTAAATGCTCAAAGAGTTTGCAAAGAATTTTTCAGGAGAACTCTTGATATTTCCCACAAACGCATTTCCTATTCGATTAAAAAAAAGAAAGTATCAGAGAGTGGTTTCTTGCCACCTGATAAAAGAGGGAGGGGTAAACCAGCCAATAAAATTCCTGATTCCAAGGTCAACCTGATCAAACAACATATCAAATTATTTCCGCGATATACGAGTGACTATTCTCGACACATTAACCCGCATCTCAAATATTTATCACAATATTTAACTGTGACAAAAATGTATAATCTATATGTAGATTATTGCACTGAACGTAACTCGGAACCTGTGACAGAAACATTTTATAGGAACACTTTTAATGCTCAGCTTAACCTCCATCTCCAAAGACCTCTTGAGGCATGTCTAACGTGTGACAAGGTGGAGCTAGATATTGCTTACGGTAGTGCAATAGAAATGCAACAGGCAATAGAGCAAAAAGAGATGCACTTGCAAGAAATGGCAATTGCAAAACTTGACAAAGAATTAACAATAAGAACCATCAATTCTGATCATGTTGTGGTTTGTTTTAGTCTGCAAAAAATATTGCCAAGTCCTTCTCCAGCTTGTAATAAAGCATACTATGCTAGACAGCTGTATTTGTATAATTTTTGCATTCATGATCTTCAGTCTGGTGATGCCATTATGTATTTATGGCATGAAGGCCTTGCAGGTCGAGGACCAGAGCAAATTGCATCCTGTTTGTACAAATTTATCCTCTCTTTGCCTCCACATGTAACCCATATTACAGTATTCAGTAACAGCACTGTGCAGAATAAAAGTACCCTCCTGGTTAAATTTTGGCTTTATGTCATTCAGAACACACAGATCAAGATAATAAATCATAAATTTCTCCCGTTTGAACACTTGGCGAATGAGTGTGACAATGATTTTATTACAATTGACAAGTGGAGAAGGAAAAGTGCGGCAGAAATATACATTCCAACTCAATGGATTCATATAATTTCTGACCATAGTAAAAAGTATTCATTTGTTGAAATGACAAATCAAGATTTTGTCTCCCTTGATTGCCTTAAACCGTACTTCAAGGACTCAGTCCCTGATATTGACTCCATGGAATGTTTTCATTTGCAACAAGGATCCTTCACACTTTTTTACAAAAGAGCCATTGCAGAAAAGGATTTTCAAATGTTTAACATGAAGTCAGATGAAATTCAAAGTATTCCTGAAAGATTACCATTTTTACTAACATCGTCAAATCAACATAAAATAAAATTTGCCAAGTACAGGACTTTACTGGGCCTATTGCCTCATGTACCAGCAGCATATCATGGGTTTTATCTACTGTTGCCACATGATGATGTTGACTCGAACTGTGAAAATTTACTTAGCATCGTTGATGAATCCAGAACTAGCAGATTTTCTTTTTTTTATGATACTGATGAAGAAAACGGTTCTTAGTCAGTCCTCAATTTCTTTATATTTCCTATTTACCCAAGTGCCTGTCAATGTCATCATAGTGGGTGTCCTCGACCATCCACACCAGGGATTTCCCTCGGTTCTTTTGGGATGGACGAAGTCAAGGACTGCAGGGACAAATAGAAAATTGACCCCAAGGAATACTAATTTCATAATCCCGAGCCCCCCCCCCCTCCGATGCTCCTTGGAAGCCAGGAGGTCCTGACTTTAAAAATCAGGGCTACCTTCACAGTCTTGCATTGTATTCTATCAAAATCGGAGAGTCAGGAAATATCGACCAAAACCAATATCAAGAGATCCAAAATCGATCCAACCCGGTTGCTGAATGGATTACTAGACAAGGTACGGATTTCAGCATTCTGATACTTGTTTCTCAACCAAAATTTCACGTAGAAATTTCACGATACGCTCAACGAAAATTAACGAAATCAACTCCTTACGGAGATGTTTAATGATTCTTGATGCGTGAATTCAAACCACCCGCTCATGAAAACTCAATGCTCTGTGTGATTCACATCGCGTGCTAAACGTTATCATGACAGTCTCTGCGATATAAAAATCTGGCAACCTCAATCTTGACGCTTTGGCTCAGCTGTAGCAAATTGCTTGTAGTTTGAACAACACATGGTGGGAAATTAACATTGCTCGATTGAGAGGCTTGCTGAAACCATTGTAGTGCGCGATTTGACTTACATAGAGCTTTGAGTTTCTTGTGAGCGGGCAGTTCAAAATCCGCATAACCAATGTGAAATAAAAAGGTTAATATCTTCGTTAAGAGTTGGTTTCAGTAAATTTCATTGTGCGAATCGTGTTCTCCGTAAAATTCTGGTTAAGAAACATGTATCAGAATGCTTGAATTCGCGCCTTGTCTAGGGGTCCATTGACGCAGGGGCCTGAGAAAATGTGTTATCATTGGTAATCTATCAGAAGTAATCCGAGTGACTGTCTGGAAACCCCCCCCACGGTTTCGCAAATGAGGTAGAAGGTGGGTTCTAAACCCAAAAACGTAACAAGTCTAGGACTTGTCCAGTACCCCATCAGCCAGGTCCTGGAGGGCTTCAGGACTGTCAGATTCAGCTTCCAGGTAAGCGCCTCTTGCCAGGGCCTCCTCGTCAATGTATTTACCCAGCGTTTCATTAAGGGGAAGCTCTGCTCCCCAACTTCAGGGGTCAATGTTTCGGACAGGGATGGGCCGATTTTGGACTCAAGGATGTCAAATCAAGTAAAAACGTTCTGTTCTCTGTGATACTTATGAAATAATCTCAAAATTGTGATGAAAACCCTGACTTTCAAAGTCTTACCCTCCTTTTAGTTCTCATGGGAAAGTATGATTCGGCTTCCTTGAGGTCAGTTCTACATGTGGTTCAGAGGCCTTTGACTTCTTCTGACGCTAAGTAACTGAGGGAATAGCCATTTAGGGGTGATCTAAGACCCACTTTATTTCTAAAGACTAATTTTAAGATTGCAACTCTCGCTTAATCTTGTCAGGAATGACAAAACAATACTAGAATTTTTAAAAAACTTCGAACAATTCAAAATTGTCAGTTTCAGACATGAGCGTAATGCAATTCTTCATCCCTCAAAAGTTTAACTGGCATCACCATTTCTGTAAAATACTGGAATGGTCGAAAACTTGAAGATCCATAAAAGCTCAGAACTTTTCTAATGCTTTAAATAGTAACCTTATTTTATGCTCAATTTTAGGAGAAAGAATTTATAATTTCTCGAATTCGAAATCAAGAGGTTACTGTAGTCCTTATCACACCAGCTACTTTAAAACTATCGTTGAAATTCAATTTGACTATCATTCCCCTAACTTTCATGTATTTTTCTCCTTTCTAAGCAGAATTTTACAAGTTTTTTAGGGGTACTTTTTCCAATCAGTTCTCTCAAAATTTTGTAGTTCATTTTCATGGTTTGTAGTAAAAATATTAGTACCTAACTGAACATAATTATTTTTTACCTCTGAAATATAATCTCTCCATCCTCTTCTCGACTTCTCTAATATTTTAGTATATGCTCCGCATCAAGAGTAAAAGAATGTGTTCTAAGATACTGCTAAGGTCATAAACATCGGAAGTACACCGCTGAAATATATTTATTGTTCTCAATCTGTTCAGTTTGTTGTCGGGAATATGTCTGCATTAAATTTTGCATCACAACCAATAGGTTCCTCTAAGTAAATAGTGATTTTTGCTCATTTGTAGAAGCATCATTAGATTTTATATCCCAATATTTTTAGGCCGATATTTTTCTGAAAGTCGAATAGCTGTTACTTGGTCGCTAGACTTTTTATTAATTTTTTTATAAAGTGAAGAATTTGTTCATTTAAAAGCTTTAAAAACTTTTTAAAAACAGTCCTTACAGTCCTTAATAAATTATATTTGCCATCGTAACTCTAAGGTTATTGAATTTATTCATCAGAGCAAAAAAAAAGTTATTTTCTCCATCTTGTCTCAGGGTCTATCTCCAATCAGCAGCAGCGTCAGTTTGCGAGTGTATGACAGCATCCTCAGTCAAAAGATGGCCCCTGAATCAGGGCCATCTTTTGACTGAGGATGCTGTCATACACTCGCAAACTGACGCTGGGGGGGCTGACGCTAACTTAAGGGGCAACCTGGCAACTGAACTAGGGGTATCAAGTTAATATGATTGTAAACTTGATCCTCCACAAGTATTGATCTCATCACTACACAGAACATCCCCAAAACATGCTCCCTGACTCCAATTCGCCTTCAGTTCAAGAGAGAGCTCCTCCAAGCATCATGTAAGAGCACAACATGATTTAGACTATGTCCCCTCTACAAATAGGCAGGCACCTGATAATGTCTGTGACTAGAATATAACATGAAAAATTGCCTCTGTTGCTGTTATCATATGAAACGTGAAGCAAATCTTCGTTCGTCACTTGCTGACGAAATTCATGAACAGTTTCCCAAATACGTCATCAAAATAAATTTTCGTTCTCCGGTTGTGATTAAATGAGTGTGGCCTAGCCTTTCCCACCAAATTGCCCGTAATTAAGAGTAATTTAATTTTCGTTAACAGTTTACGGTTTCGTAAACGTGCTCTGGACCATGTTATCGAACCTGTCGACGATTCTCGTTGGGAGAGTAAAACCCATCAACAGTCCTGTAAACAGGCCACCGGGCTCTAATTGGTTGATGAAAATACCAAATTCGTTAACGTGCAGGACAACTGTTTACGGATTTTGTTAGTAGTTGACAAATGAAAATTTGCCTGTTGTGTTTATTTCTGTTATCAGTAATTATGAACATTCTGAATAAAGATGTGTTGGAGGAGCTATGAACTATCAAGCAGGCTTGAGGTCAGAACACGAAGGTTTTTATTTCAGCAAAAAAGCTCTCTTCAGTTATAAGAATTTCTAGCGCTAAGCGAAGCTAATTTCAGCCAATTTATTGTTATGTCTGAGAATTAGCTGTGTCCTTTTCCCCTCACGAAAGACGTTTGAGTTTATTATGTGCCCTTCACAGAGTACCTATTGCTTCTCTTTAGCTACTATACCAGACAATACCAATGTGCTTTATCAAAGCTGTCTTTACTCTTTTGCCAGGAATAGACTATTGTTACTTGTTTCCATGCAAGCAAAGGCAAAAGCACTCAAATTTAACTTATCGCAATGCACTCGACTCCTAAATGTGTTCGGCCTTTTAGTTAAGGACCTCATTTTCAGGATTCAAGAACAATTTTTTTTTAATTACAGTATCGGCTTTACGAAAGCAATTTGTTGAAATCAGTTTTAAAGAAAGTGAGATATGTTGCACATATGATCACAGCAAAAGAAGAAATAAATCAGGAATTGTATCAGATCCGTCCTCAATTTTTTTTTACTCTAGTCATTTGAAAAAAAAAAAAAAAATCAATTTTCCAAATAAATGAAAGCAGGTGAGTTGGATGAAGAGATTCCCAAGTAGCATTTTGCAACGAAAAAATTGCAATTTAAATGAAATAAAATTTCCAGATGATTTCAACTTTCTTGTAAGAAAATTGCAATTATTTTACAACATCTGACCCCCTCATTGTAAAAAAGTTGCAATTTTTTTTTTTTTTGCAAAGAAATTTCAATATTGACGACCTTTAAATTTCAACCCCTAAATTTTCCGGGGAAATTAGAATAATTCGAACCCATACTTACCTAATGTCCTACGACGTTTAGCAGCATAAAATACCGGACGCCTTGAGTGGGCTTGAACCCGACCCGCGAATGTCATAGCGGAGCACTCTTCCACTGAGCCACAGGGAGCTGATGGTGAGCAGGGTTGAAATCACGTCTGTTAAGGCTGTTATAGCATGCATTGCGTCAGTACGCGGCTCAACTTTCATCATAGATTTGATTAACGCCGTTTTTCTCAGGCTTCTTTCTTTTGCCTATTATTTATTTTTTTTGTGTTATTTTTTTTTTCGATATCACGTAATAGGTACTTACACTAAATTTACAACGGTGTAAATTACACCACATACTAACTTGAGAACTTAAAAATATTTTCAAAAAATATTTTTAAAATATTTTCAAAACTTTCTTAAGGATTATTTTCAAAACTTTCTTAAGGAATATTTTTAACATGCATGTTTACAGGCAATATTTTTGAATTATTTTAAAAATATTTTTTGTAAAAATTTTCAAAATATTCCTTTAAAATGTTTTAAAAACATTTTCAAAATATTTTGAACATATTTTAATTACAATATTGCCATGAAAATATTTTGATAAAGGTGACAATATTTTCAAAATATGTTGGGCTATATGGGTTTGGTGAGACATTTAAGTCGAAAAAACTTTAAAACAACTAGAAAATTGGTTGCCAGGCACATGGCGTGAATTTGTTTCAACATGATCGCACCGAAATTGCAGTCTTTATAGTGCCTTGAAAAAGAAGGTTAGGCAACAAGCATAACCTACATTTCTTGCAAGTTCATTCCAATAAAATTGCAACTTTTTCAGCGCCTTCAAATGAACGTACAGGCAACAAGCAAAAATTGCAATCAACTCACCATCCATTGCAATGAAATTGCAATTCATGCTACTTGGGTTTGTGTAATTTAAGTTAATTGTGTTCCTTAAGATTGAAAATTTAGTTTTTTTTAGATCTAAGTTTTGGTCATATCTCAGTACGTTTATGGTAGTAAATCTCTTTCTCCATCCGAGAAGTGGAGAAGCGTAATAGGTTCATTACATTCAATGTTGAAAGTACCTATAGCGTTCGCATTAAGTGTGCTTTCATGCACTGCCTAAACCTTAAAAAAACTCACAACTTCAATCGTGAAATTAATTCTAATCACAATAGTGAAGACAAAATGGTAAGTGGCTGTCTGAAGAATCAATGTCAGTGTAAGAATTTTAGTCAATGCCCACCACTAAATT